GAGAGGGAAGTTTTTTTTATATATATATATATATAATATATAATATAATATAATATAACATCTGTTTCATTAAATTTAAGCCTGACAATCAGTCTTAAAATGTGTCCATAACATAATATTTATACAGTTAATCTAAATTAATGTGTTATTATATATATATAATAAGACACCGAACTGGGGTGGTCAGGCTCCCCGGCAGTCACAATCATCGTATCCTTGCTTTGCATTAAGAACGAGCACTTTAGGAATAAGCTAATGACCCTTGAGGCTGAAATAAGCTTCACTAAAGACTGAAATGGTCTTTTAAAGCAAGACAGACTCCAATTAGATTACAGTAGATTAATTCACTGCATTGAGTTCGGGGACATTAATTCATGGCAGCCAGCGGAGCTTAAAGGGCACAAAGGGACACACTGCAGTCAGAACGACATTTGGTTTCTGTGTTTTATTTTTGTTTAGTAGTAATAATCAGTGTGCCGCCCGCTCCGTCTGGTCCAAAATACAGAATTCTAAAAAGAGATGAAAAGATTTTATTCTTTATCTGCACAGTTTCATCCTCACAGACTCTGAACAGACTCTGAGCCTCAGAGGTAAAACATGAGCTCTCCTGCTCAACTGTTCAAGTCTTTAAGTCTTTTGAGTTTGTTAGTGTGCTGTTTGATATCTGTCCCACACTGCCACCTTGTGTTTAAACTGCAGCACGTCAGCAAAACAAAAGTTTAATATAATACAAATAAATATAATATAATAAGTTTAAGTAGTTTTGAGATGTTCACAAGTGTATTATTTAATGCTTCGAGCTTTTTTATATTTATAAATGACTTGAAAATCTTCTTTAAATGTTAAAAAGACCTTGTAAATTACTTAATAATTTTGTTTGTTTCTACTTTCTGTTAAAGACAGCTTCTTCCTTCAGGCTGTGAGACAAATTCTCCCTCAACAATTCATCATTCGAATCAATAAATTATTATTATTAATAACATTATCATTTTATCAAGTAGCATAAAGCGGAAAAATATCTGAATTTTAATCTACAATCTTGTTATAAATGACAATAAAATAAAGTTACTGTTTGGATTAATTGACCACTGATGTCTTATTTAAAGAAGCTTAAAGTACAACTTTCTTGTATTTGTACTTTTACTCTTTATACTTTACTTCAGAGGCAAATATTGTTCTTTTTACTCTACATTTATTTCATTTTTAATTTAGATTAATACAAAACATCAACAAATAAAGTAAAGTATGACATTATTACATCAATATGACTTTATTGATCCCCGGGGGGGGAAATTGCCCAAACTACCCAGCAGTATATAATGTAATACACATAAAATAAAATAAAATTAGCTCCACATTTACCAGCTGCAATAATAAACTGAAGTACATATTAATGCATCAATAATCATCGTCCAATGTGGAAGAAATATTCAGATCTTTTACCTGATACCAGTGTAAATACTCTTACAAGTAAAAGTTCTTCATTTAAAATGTGACGTCAGTAAAAGTACAGAAGCATCAAAATAAAACCAAAGCACTATATAAGCATTATATATATATATTTGTATATATATATATTATATTACTGCATAACAAGTACTGAAGCATTAATATGTAACACTTTAATGTTTAGACTGGTAAAAGTGGAACTTATTACTTTATAGCAGAAAATGGAAATACTCAAGTAAAGTACAAGTACTTCAGAACTGTACTTAAGTACTCAGTTACTTCCCACCACTGAGGTTAAACAGTTTCTGTTTGAACGAACATTATTTTCTTCATTTTCTGGATTGATGGTTTGCTCTATATAACATCAGAGAACAGTTTAAAATGCTGATAACAACTTCATCCTATCAAATATCTCGTAAGTAGTTAAAAGAAAGATATTCAATATATTTCCAAAAGGTTATATGAAGATAATATGTGGTTATTTCCTCCTGTTTATACGGTTTGAGGCAATTTATAAAGTATTTTGTATGTTCATTACTCTGGGAACTTTCTTTTTCTTCATAAACAAACAAACAGGTCAGGTCCACATGTTTATGGCATTATTTATTTGAAGCTCCTGCTCCACTGGAGAAGAAAACAAAACCAAAAAGGTGCAAGAGTTTACATGAGTTTTACCTGGAGGGAGAATATTACATAAATATCAACTATGGCCCTGGTCAGCTTTGCTTTGCACCTGTAATGGAAACCAAGCTCCTGTCAGCTATTACCAAAAAGGAGGCCATGTAACAAACAGTGGATGCCTTTTACACAGGCACAGGTACAGACAGAGGCACAGGGAACGGTAGGGGGTTCAGACTCCACTCGGGCAGCAAGGAGCCTCGTTTCATCGCTCCTAGAGATCAGCTAATAACGCGTGGAGCTGCTTCTGAACGCCAACAGTCCTTGAAACCTTCTCCTGACTCTTCAAGTATAAATCTATTTAGAGGACAAAACAAAAAGGGGGCGAAGGAGAAGTTGCAAGTCACACTTTACACAACTGGAATGAAGCCGTGTCATTCGTCATCTTCCGTGGAGGCTTTTGGGTCGTTATCTACTGGATGGTAGTCCATAATACGCAGAGTATACTGTGTAAGGAACAACAAAATGACAGCATAAACATTCCTTTCATTGCACTTTGTTAGGTTTTTTTTTTTTTTTAAAGAAAATACAATTGTCAGTTGTATAAATGACTGTTTCAGTTGCTGAAATGATGTAGAACATTATCTGCCTACTTTTGTTCAAAGTAGGACTTGCGTCTTCTGGTGAGGATACAAGATTAAAACACGTACATGAGAGCATTAATACATCTCTCTGCGCGGCGGAGCATCGCCACGCTCCGCATTAAGTGGCAGGAAGCAGCGTGGCCGGCTCACGAAAGCCGGCCGTCACTATTGCAGGATAACAGGAGGAGCACGAGCAGCCCCAGCCTCGGTGCTCGGTACATACACAGCGGCACATAATTACACTTCTGAACAGATGACATAAAAGAAAAATGGACAGTAATGGCTTTTCCCTTTGAAACCAGGAGATCTGCCTGGCCAGTTTAAAGTGTCCTGGTGAAGAGGAGGGCTGACTACCGAGTGTAAGTGTAGTGTAGAGCGCAGGGTCAGTGGGGGGGGGGATCTCTGATGGTCGCACATGACGTTTGCGGAGGCCGTGGTGATGAGCCGTTGTCATGAGTGGATGTGAAGGATACACAGTGGCTGTCTGGATGATCTATGAAGCGCTTTCTGAAGAGGCGACTCTTTGGCGTGCGGTCCTGGGCCGACTTCGCGTCGGGGCGCTGGCCGTGCGCTCACTCTTGGTTTCGGACGGCTGCGTCTCGGCCTGCGGGGTGCTTGCGTCCCCGAGGAGTTCGCGCAGGAACTTGAACTTGGACAGGAAGAGCTGCCACACTACGTACCAACCTGAGGGGAGAAGAGGGAAAAATGGACATTTAGTGGCCTGATGAAAGGGTATCGAATAAAGCAGAGGTGCTCAGGCGTCCTTTTTATACACTACACAGAGGTAAGCGTTTGTTTTTCTGACAAATAAATGCTCATCAAGGTCATTTAACAGCACTTACTGCCATCCTCAAACACTCTAACCACTTTCATGAAAAGATACGCTGGATGCTGCACGATAAAGGAGACAAACAACAACAAATCAGTTCCCAATTGTCCAAATCATATGACTCCGAGCTCATCAGTTCCTCTCATTGATGGCAGACGTCAAAGACAGACGCTGCTGGTAACTAGCAACAAGGAGGAAGAAACAGTCCAACGTGTGGCTCCACTTCACGAAGAAAGGTTACAAGAGTGCTTGTTGTAATGTTTGTAATATGATGAGTTCATGTAAGAGTGGAGACACCCGTAACGTGCGGGAATATCTTTCTACACAAGATGAATTAAAGACCATTTATCTGACACAGTGCTTTCCAACCGAGCAGCAGGTCCATCACTGAGATAAATATCCTCTGTTATAATAAATCGTTGAGAAGAAAAACCTGAAAACGAATTCTGTAATCCCTTTTTGGTATTTCTACAGTGTGTTCAGGTAATAGTTGCACTGATGCTGAAAACCTAAACCACTAAAGGAACTGATAAAGCATCAAAGAAATAGGCAGATAATGGCACTGGAATCAATAAAATCTTATCAATTCTCATCTCTATTTCCAAATCCAAACACAGCAGACACAAAATGACACATTCTGACTCAATTTCAACACGTAGCAAAATTAAAAATCATCATTATTCGCAGTATTTCTCTATATTAATCATTACTTCTTAGCATTTCACAATTCTCTTCCGTTACACTAAACACAAGCAAGAAGTTAAACGATTTCTGCTCATTAAAAGGGTTTAAAATCTTCTTTTTTGCACATTTCCAACTCGTGTATCGGACAAACGATCATCCCTGCTGCAGTGAGCGCCTCACATCCTGGATGAGAAGAGGCTGAGCTGAAACAGGCGCAGGTGCTCATTTTCTTAGATGCATTTGTTTCCCTGCAAAAGATCAACAACAACAACAACAACAACAGGTGTATTCAGCCGGTGTTGTGCAGGTAAACGCTGCCCAGGTGCAGGCAGAAGGAGGGAGTCATGCAGGATGTCCAGCTGAGAGCAAACATACACAGGTTTATGTTGTGATGACATCTGCCACACTCCTCTGCGCATGATAAATATAGAAACTCTCCGAAATCCAAAACTTGCAGGTCAGAGACATCCAGTACACTCTGACCTGCCACACAAAGCGGCTTTAACAAGGTGGAAACGGCTCAAACATTCCCATAAAAGTCCATTTTACACCGAATATTCCACCAATTTGTTGATTTAGGGAGGTCGGCTTCCGGCGCAGACTTTAACAGGTGAAGCAGCTACAGAAACAGCGCAATAAGTTAGTTAATGTGCGTCAGTATGAAAGTGAACTCACCAAACAGCATGAAGAGCAGCGCACAGACGAGAGTGGCCACAATGACCAGCAGTGTGAGTCCGACACTCTGCCACATCCTTTCAGCTTCCCACACACACACACACACACAGATATATAAATATATATATTTATAGACGCAGCTTGGTCAGCCGAGACGAGAGGGAGAGAAAAACAAACAGCAGCACATCGCTAAGTCACACCAGCCTGCTTGTAGCTACTGTGGACAGCTCGTTGTCAGCTTTCTGTGTTGACAAACGGAGCCGCAGTGTGTTTGTATTCCCGACAGAAGCTCCGCAGCGTGAGTTAACGTTAACTAGAGGGTGAAGTCCTTCTTCTGTGCGCTACATAACTGCGACATGTGTTTTATTTCTCCCGGACGAGACGGAGCAGTTAGCGACAGTAACTGGGTTAAGACAACAAAATCAGCGTCATGAAACCGACTCGATCTGCGACTGCGCGAGTTTTCATGTGGCTTCTGGGTAATGGAGTTTATGTTTTAAAAAAGAAATCCGCAATGTGTTAATCTATACGATTTATACCATATATATTATATATTAAGATATATTGTAATTATGTTTAATAATATAATATATAATTATATCTTAATAATATATATATCTCAAACTGCGACTGCGCAAGTGCCATTTGAATTCTGGGTAATGAAGTTTATTTAAAAGAAAAAAGTGCCAGTGGTTCCCAAACCTTTTTCCTTAAGGAAAGAGTAAACTGACTAAGCAACATATTTTATGGAT